AACACTTTTTTGACCACTCAGGGCCTTGTCCGATTAAAATGGTTGAACCGACCAGTTTACCGGTTAGGCAAGTTGAACCGCTTTCAAGGCCATGTCTGGTTAACTGCTCCGTTAACAATACTTTTGACGTTATGTTGAAAGAAAAAAATTATACAAGATGACAAAAGTAATGAGCACTTCCAAAACTCACTCAAAATAGTCATTCCCAAGTTGAAGAACTCTCCTGGTTGATAAATATCGATTTTAAGATGTATAGACATATAAAAAAGAAAAGGGTTCAAAAGAACATTAGCACTTGACACATTTGGGACAAGAGTTAGGGTCATGGTGGTAGCACCCCACACTCTGGTTACCACCTTATAGTTTTTGTTCCCACTCCACCACCCCATTAAAACCTTCAAACAAAATCGGATAGGAGTCTGCCTTCTCCGCTGAATTACCCAAAAAAACCTACTTGTGACACATTGTCTGGTTCGTCTATTTTAAAAAAAAAAATAGCTCTTTATGGATCTTCTTGATTTACATCTTATTAAGAGCTTTAAACATCATAATTAAGGGTAAAAATCAATGTTGAGGCCATCATAATGCTTTTTTGGGGTCAAAACTGCACTTTTTGCAAGATTTAAAAGTGCACCTTACTTTAATTGTTTAAGATTGATGCTTTATATAACCTGCAACTAAAAGCAATGAGAAAATTCTCTTTTGGAAATGAGAGTAATGGCCCAGCATGTGGAAATAAGTGGCATTTTGGTAAGCCTTTCAAAATATTTCCATGATTCCCCATTTGAGAGGGAGATACACACTGAGAGAAGGTGTGAGAGAGAGAGAGTGTGTATATGAGAGGGAGAGACAGAGAGAGCAGGTATGAGAGAGATGGAGAACAAGTGTGTGTGTGTGTGCGTGCACGTATGTAAAAGAGAGAACAGGTCCATGAGAGACAGGTGAATATGTGTTTGTGTGTGTGAGAGAGAGAGAGAGCAAATGTGTGTGTGTATGTGAGAGAGAGATATGCATGGAACTTACATGAGCCCTCGATCCATCAGATAAGCCTGAATCAGACCTCCAAGTAATCTTCTGACTTGGAGGAATCTTTCCTGATCTTTGCCCCTCAAAAAACAATATTGACTTTGCAAGTGCATCCTTGTAGTCAGGGTGGCCATGGATAATCCTAACAAGGAATAAGAGAGAGAAAATCGAAAATATAGAGAGAGAAAGAGACATTTGCTTGGCCATTGAAGGCTAAGAAAATGTTAGAGAGAGAGAGGGGGATATTTCCTTGGCTATAGAAGGTGCAGAGAGAGAGAAAGGGATATGAAAATGTAGAGAGAGAAAGGGATATTTAGAGAGAGAAGGAGTTGTAGAGAGAGAAAATGATAATTTCTTGGGTATGGAAGGCCAAGTCGGTTGCATGCATGCGATATGGTTGAAGATGGGAAGGTATTTTATAGGCAACGAGAAGGAAATAAAGAATTTAAGAAGGATTAAATGGATTTTATAAAGCAACGCAAATTGTGGCTTTTCTCTATTGCTTTTTTTTTGACCTTTACTCTTTTTTATTTTTATTTGCTTTTGGCGGTCTAAGTGGGGGACTGCGGCGCTGATTGCTTGGCGCAGTTCTGCGCGCCGAATGGGAAAAAGCCTAAAATGAGTGGTCTGGTTTTGAGAGAGAGAGAGATGGTTTAGAGAGAGAGAGAGATACTTTGAGAGAGAGAGAGAGAGAAGGGGGGTGCAGTGCCACAGGTAATTTATTGCAAGATTGATGTGTATTAGAGCTAGAAAGCATATGACTGAAGAAATTTCTAACACATGAGAGAGAGAGAGAGAGAGTTTTTTGGTGTTGTCAGACAAGGAATTTTGGAGCAAAATCAATGTGTAATGGAAGGAGAAGAAAAAAATAAAGGCATTTGGTGACATGAGAGAGAGAGAGAGAGTTAATCAAGGAAAACATAATTGGCGAGGCGCCAAATTTTGACAGATTGTGGTTGAAAACTTGAAATGTAGATAGAAAGCAAATTCCCCTCAACATTCACACTACTTAATTGCCTTGCCCACCATTAGTGCCGCAACTCTCTCTCTTCTTAATCCCTCTCTAGTTCTGGTCGATATCAATGACCACCACCCATTGTAGGAATAATCCAAATTGAACGAATAAATAGATATGGGGCAGGAAGTGGTTCAATCGGCCTAACTGAGTAATCTTTAGGGCCGTCTAAAAAGGTTAAAAAAATAAAAAATAAAAATAAAATCTAATAAAAAATGAACGTATGATTAAACAAAATACATCCAAATGAATTTGAAAATTAATGAAAAAAATAGATTTCAAAGAATCAATTTGTTCCCAAAAATATTTTTGAAATTTTTTTTAAAAAAAAGAAGGGAAAAATATAAAAATAATTACTAATAGTAAAAAAAAATTCAATCTATACCAAAATGATGAAAAAATTAAAAAAAATACATTATAAACAAAATTTCTTAATTTTTAGAATTGTATATATTTTTATAAATACAGAACTCGATCACCAAAACCGACCGCATACCGATCTAACCGAACAGTTAAAATTTGAACCGCGAGATTTTTCCTACACTGCCACCACCGTCCCTCTCACTCTTATTTGGCATCTTACCTTACCAATCAATCTCTCTCTCTCTCT